TACTAGTACCAGTACCAGTACTAGTGCTGCTACTACTACTACTACTACTACCACTACTACTACTACTACTACTACTACTACTACTATACTACTACTACTACTACGACGACGGCTACTGCTACTACTATTAGTACTACTAGTAATAGTACTACCACTACCACCTCTAATACTACTACCAGTAGTTCTCCTATTCTCCTACAGCACTGTTGCTGCTACTCCACTGCCACGGCGACAGCCACTGCTACCGCTACGGCTACGGCTACGGCTGCTGCTGCTGCTGCTGCTGCTGTTTCCTTCCTTCCTACTGCATGTTGCAACTACCAAACCAGCTACCTGCTCGGCATTTGACCACAGACGGTCCTTACGTAAATCATGTGGCCGGCAGGCCAAAGCGCTATACCATCGAGTGGATGCAGGCGAACCGGGAGCGTGAACGCCAGGACTTGGGGGCGTAATTGACACGTGTGCAGCCGAGAAGCCCTCTACACTTTGCCCGTGCATTTCATACTTTGCAATCGGAATTAAGGCTTCTGTCATGCTGAGTGACAGCGAGGCAGCAATCTTGCGGAATGCCCAAGCATGCAAGAGACAACTATTTCGGCCAGACTCCCGCCGACTATCTGTGGAGAGAGAGAGAGAGAGCGCGAGAAAACGAGAGAGTATGAACACAGAGTCAGCACTGTAGCTCGGTACCGTCGGCACTCAGATATGCCATGCATGTATTCACTTCTGCAGAAAATTAACCTGGAAGGAGAACGCCAATCCTGTGACCCGCTACTTGGATCGTCGCCGCACCGAGCGTGGCGGGACTTGGATTGCGTCTTGCCTAATTATGCAGACGTTGAGGTCCTCTGTAAACCTGGAGATACGTATGTTATATATATATATATTTTTTTTTGTTTATCAGAGCGGCCCCTTTGGGGTCTATTTGACGGCCTGTTTAAATCAGTGTTTCATCATATAATCCAAGCAATTGAAATAATTTAGCTAATTATATGTGTGTGTATATATATATATCCGAAATAATCAACTAAATGACCACCTGATTTAATAACTTCTATTATTTCGATTCGTTGGTCCTCCAAATTTCGACGTAATCGAAATGATTAACTCAACACTTGATGTAATTATGTTGATTATTTCGATGGTTTTAAAAACGGTGGGAAACTTCTGGAAGAGGACCCGCCCGAGAGTTGATTTAATTATAGTTAAATCAACCCTCGGGTGAGTCCTATTCCAAAGGTTTCCCCACCATTTAAATAATCGCAATCACCGAAGTAATTAAATCAGGGGCTGATTTATTTTTTTATCCTTTTCGAAGTTCGGAGGGCCAAAAGCTTGAAATAATAGAAATATTTGAATGGGAAGGTGATCTAATAATTGCAATTATTTAGAATATTGAAATCCTCGGGGATCCGCCTTAGGGGCTGCAAGAGGGGTGATTGAATGATTCCGACTAGTTTGGGTATTGGGGGGCCCCAAATAATCGAAACTATTTCGATTATTTGGGGCCACCAAATAATTAAAAGACTCCAAATTATTAAATCACTCCCTCCATCTCTCCCTCCCTCCCAGCAAAATTTGCTGCAATCGGCTGTTTCCTGATTTAGATATAACCACGAACAAGTCAATCACAGCAACTTTTGCCCAAGAATCGGTTGGCAAAATTTGCTGCGACTGGCAGTTTCCTGATTTAGATATAACCATGAACAAGTCAATCGCAGCAAATTTTGCCCAAGAATCGGTTGGCAAAATTTGCTGATTTTGGCTGTTTCATGATTCTAGATATATCTGCGAACAAGCCAACAGCAGCAAGTTTTGCCCAAGAATCGGTTGACACCAGCTCCGACATTAAAACATGCAAGGCGTTGTGAAAACCATTGTCCCCCTCAAACAACAAAAGCGCAAGGCTTTTTGTAAACCCTTGTCGTCTTCCAGCAACAAAACTGCAAAGGTTTGTTTGTAAACCCGTGTCCGTCTCGAGATTCGGCAGCACAATTTTGTTTGTAGACCTGTGCCCTCCGCCAACATTATATACATAAGCTAGTTTGTAAACCAATGTTATCCCTATCATTGCTGTACGTGCACAAGATTCCTACTATTACACGTTTTGTTATGATGGTGGTGGCACCTTCTGTTCATGATTACCGTTGTTCATACTGCTTCCTTGTGCTCGATTTGTTTGTGCCACGTTCCACCAGACTAGCAACAACAACCCCGTTTCTGGGGAGAGGGGTGGCAGAACAACAGACGGGGTTGCAGAATTTGTTTCTTCATGATTGCTGAAACCATCTCCTTCTGGAAACTGGCTTTCTGGAGACTGGCTTGGGAGGGTCGGCGTGGGCAGTGTGGGTCGTGAGAGGCCGGGGGAGGGGGGGGAGAACAACACACGGGACAGCATAATTTGTTTGTTTTGCCAGACGAGCAACAACAACCTCGTTTCCGGGCGGCATGGATTGCGGCGAAAGATCAAGCAGAAAACTAGCAAAACAACACACTCCCGCACCCCAAGCCCACCCACAACACCCCCGCCCCCGCCGGAACAACACTCACCCCCGGCCACCCCAAGAACAACACCCCCTCCCCCCACAACAACACACGGGGCACCAGGCTTTGTTTCTCCTACAAATGTACAGAAAAATGTACAGACAAAGACCGCAGCAACAGCAGCAGAACAACACCAGAACAACAGCCTCCCTCGGGAACGACAGCCCCCCGTCAGAACAATGTAAAGGCCACCAGGTCAGGTTTTGTCTCCAGTCGTGTAGAAGAGACAAAAGCAAGCAGTTGTTGTGTGGATGGGGCTTCTGTTTTTGTTCGCTCCTTGTTCTTATTGTTCGTGTTGTTCTTATTTTTCTTATTATTCCTCTTCTTCTTGTTGTTGTTGGGTTGGGGTTGGTGTAACAAACAACGGGGCATGGGACTTAGAGTTGCTGTTAGAGCTGAAAAGGCTGGAGACGTACACGTGCCAAGGAACACAATTGGACGTAGTATAACTGTTACTGACTGATGATACATGATGATCAGTATTGTTGCCCTTGTACTGTTTGTTGTGATACTGAAGGTCATTGTTTGTTCATGTCTACGGTTCTGCATCTTGCTCACTAGTGCTTTCATCTACATATGTGGCTTCTTACTCGTGTGATTTTATTCAGTGTTATTACGAACACTGTGAGGATGATTGGTGCTAGCTGGACTGATTGCGGGCTTAGTTGTTGTTCCCGATATTGATGATTTGGTTGTCACTGTTGTCGCTTGTTGCTGTTGTGGGTCACAGTGCTTGTCAACAGGCTGCGGGTTTGGAGTTGATGTTACAATGGGAAGATTGGAAGTGTACTCAGTATACTCACGCCAAAGGAACGACAAAGGCCAAGTCAAAGGAACGACAACGAGCAACTGACACAGAAACATAGAATATATACAGCTTCAAGTGCGAATATTGCAAACCACGCATACAACAAGCGACGCGAGACAACACTCAATAGACACTTAAGGAAAGTAGTATTTCACACACGGACACAACATCAACAGCAGCATCCAAGAATACTATGTGTGACCATGCTGACCGTGATCAGTCTGTTGGATTACATACTGTACCCGCCCACCTGCTTGTGATTCGATCAGTGCCTGTTGTTGCTGACAATCCATTTCCGGTTACATGGAAGGCAACGAACACGATATCATATAAATTCGTAGTGAAATAGACCCTAAAGGTATCGGGTCCATATATTTAATATACATATATATATATACATATATATACATATATATATGTATATATACATATGTATATATATATATATGTATATATATTTATTTATTTATTTACATGTATATACATCTTTTTAGTATGCATGTATAGTATATACATACTTGTGTTTATAGTTATTTGTTTACATATGGTCATATGGACCGTCCCTTCTGTGTATGTGTATAAGTATATAGCTACAGCATCCCTTAGGTTGGGAGTCTCGGGAAATCGTTTGTTAGAGCTGCTGGGAAGGGCTGTGTCATAGCCGGGGCAAGATTTTTGGAATTCACCGGTTTTGGAGCTGTTCTCTGAGATGATCCTAGAGGTCAAGATGTTGATGAGGAGGAGAACCAGGGACAGGGTAATCACTATTCCCTAATTATCGCAAATGACAGTAATTTAGCAACATGTACCCCCCAAACCTTGTTCTAGCCATCAAGGCCCCTACAGCCAAATCCTTATTATCGTTCCGGGCGCGAGTCTTTTCCTACGATCTGCTGTCTCGTGTGATTTCTCGCACTCGGCTCACCGGAGGCTCAGTACAACGTCCCGTGCCTTGTCGGCAGTCAGTCGGTGAACTGTTAGGGCGTAGGGCTTTGGGTTTGGGGTTTAGGGGTTTGGGGATCCGGGGGCTAAATTTCAGGGGTTTGGGATTTAGGCGGGTTGAAGTTCAAGGTCAAGGACTCGAGTGTTGACTGAGCTTGCGCACGGAAATCGTCGCGCCAACAAGCTCCTGCCCTAAATGCGAGGAGTTCACCGACATGCAGTCAACCAAGTTTAGGCAGGCACTGACGAAACAGCCTCAGCCTACTGAATGCTGCGGAACCCCAACAGCTTGCTTGTGCAAGTCGTAGTGCGTTGGTTTAGGGTTTAGGGTTCCAGGCTTCCAAATTCAAAAGTTTCTTTTCAATGCAGGGCCTGAATAGTTAGCAATATAATATTCCCTTATAGTTCCCGTACTATGAATGGTGCTTTGGGTCTGTTCCCTGGTAGGTTTGAAGGGATCGTGAAAGGCTTAGAGCTAGTACCGCTAGCTCGTACGCAAATACAGCGGCCTGAGTAGCTAGAATAGGGATGAATGGGGTTTTGGGTTTTGCTGTACTAGATGTTTCTCTTAATACTTGTAGTGCTGCATCACTCTAGCATCATTGCCACAACTATTACTGAATTCCGGTCATTCTTGTTCTGTACAATTACTGGCGCCAGTGCTTCTGCGAATGGTATACAAGAGCATGTTCGAGGAGCTACCAGGATGCAACCATGATACGCCTTCGAAAATACCTAGTCCTTTCTCAGAAGATCCAAAGATGCAACCCTACACCCTAACCCTAAACCCCAAACCCCACACCCTGAACCCTAAACCCTAAACCCTGGTGCTCCCTGCCCCGAGTCGTAGACCTTGCTCCCAGATGGCATCCGTACTTCATGTGGATGACGAACACCCACGACCCTGACTATCCGGAGTACTACCTCGACAAGCCCGGCCACCCTCACCTCCACTACGAGGCGCGTGGCCCGGGATATGTTGACTTGATGTAAAAGCCGAGCGAACACCGAATCACGAATTTCCATGTGCATGTTTTCATGTTTATCAGAATCGTCATGCAGAAATTCATCTCCCATCTGTTCACAGCCAAGACACTGAGAGCTTGTCACTGCCCTGGCACCCGGAAGTTTCGCCGTTGTCACAGCGTGCTGTGTTTGAAAATCCTACCCATAACGGCTGGAAAGCCTCCCTGTTAGAGACGCGCTTGCCCTGATGCCCTCGATCATCCGAAGCCACTTAAATCCCCAAGTCATTGACCGCGTCTAGTACTTCTACGACTACTAAGACGAGCAATATATACTACTTATATGAATACCAAGACTAGTAACAATAGAACGAACAACATTATTTGCCGCTCGGAATCAGTTGTATCCCGCAAGACCTGACAACCTTTGAAAAGTCCGACCTTCACAGGATTACAAGCGAATGGACAAGTCCTTCAAGACGGAGGAGGACTAAGCGGAGCACCAAATGGCTTCTTGGCGTTGTGGTACGTGGGCATTTGTGGGGTTTGGGGTTTAGGGCTTAGAAGGAGAGTTGCGTATGGAAAGGCCAAAGCGGCACTGCCAGCAACATTCCAGGGTGAAGCGATGACTTCTGCTTGTGTCATGCTTAGTTCATTTCGGCTGTACTTGCACGATGACACTTTTGTGATGGTGCGCGGTTGGCTGAGGCCGTACCAGCAGAGAGAAGCATGGCTCATCCCGGTCGGCTACCCATATAGTCACGAGATGCGCAGCCTCAACGCAGAAGCGCTGCTGACCATACCAAATCATAACTTATCGATCTTGCTGTGGACATGGAACTTTTTCTGGGTGGCCGACAGGCTATTCCTTGTGATTTTGAGAAAGCTCACTTCCTTGTTCGTTGAGTCGAAGTTCAGCCCTTGGGAGAAAAAGTGGAGTGCACAGTGAACTGTAGACCCTCTGGCGAGAGAGGAGTTTCCAGTAAGAGGGTAATGTAGGGGCCTTGATAATTAGTGATTTGTGTTTTGGGGTTCCTGATTAATTATACTTATAGTATAATATGTCCCCCCAAACCCTATTGAGATCCTATAGATTGTGTCATAGATGGTAGGGGATCCTTTTTGCTGTGGACCCCCCCCCCCCAGTCAAGAAAAGCCGCAGAAACAGACAAGTATCTCAGAGCAGGGATCCATCACCTGCACCCGTAATTAAGGAAATGTCGACCGTTAAGAGTAGGGTTCTTAATACGGCTTTAATACGACTTCCTACAACATGAAACATGGACGCTCAATGCCAGGATCTTTACCAGCTGGAACCCTAAGAAAGGAAAATCGATCCCGAACAGTAGGATCCTTGCAAGAAGGAGACCTAGGAAAGTTTCCGCGTTGTCACAAACCTTCAGATATCCTCAGATCATCGTAGGTCCTTACTTGCGTCTTCGTGGTGCGAGGCCGGAGGTTGAAAGCTTGAAAGGGCGGTGGCCCAGTTTACATATCCCAAAAACCGAAACTGTAAACCCCAACCCTCAGCCGTGGATTTTTCGGATTCTTGTGGGCGTATACATCCTGGAGTCCCAGACCCTGCGCATTGATGCGTGTTAGGGGTACCGGATAGCCTTCACCCAATCCCTCATGAAAGCACGCGTGTGCGCGCAAACTAAAGTTGCGATACCAGCTGAACTTGCTGGAGCCACGGTTTGTCTTCACTGCCCTCCTTGAGACCCATGTTTTCGAAGCTGTANNATGTGCTTGCGCTCTCGGGCTCTCATGCTCGACACGGGTAGTTGTGTGATGTTTTCTGGGTGGGTGGAGTGCAACGGAGCAAGAAGAGCCCCTTCTCCTAGAAGCGTTCAGTTCTAAGCCCGGACCCGTATAAACCCTAAAGCCTAAGCCCCTCAAGCCGTGGAAAAGTGCCCTAGCCTTCCCAACCACAGCAACCTGAAGCACTAATCAAACCCCAACGTCCTGCACCCCTTAAACCCGTAAAACCCCCTTTAGACCCCAAATTAAGGAATTTAGGGGAAACACTAACATAAATGGCAGGGCCCAGTTCCTCTGAGCCAAGTCAGACGTCCCACTTCGAATCTCGCGACCCTACTACGGTTGATGATATAAATCCTGCATTACCCATAATAAGGTATATACCATAAATTCCCATAGTTTAGGGTCCTTTCGGTAAATTTAGGATTTACATCATCTACAGTATTTCGGGGTATACGATCTCCCTTCCTGGGATGAGCAGATGGGAACTTCAAGGGTTTAGGGTTTGGGGCTTGGTATCCCTGTCCAATGTTCTGTATGTGCGGTTTTTGTTGGGGGCCTCCATCAACCCAAACCCCAAGCCCTATAAACCCTAAACCCTAAATTAAACCAAGCTTCCTCGAACAGAAAAGATGCAACTTAGCGAGTCGGAGAGGTACTTGGCCTCCATTGCAAACTCCTCGTGGGAGTTGCTACGATGGTCTGGGGCTCATTGTGCAAAGGTTAAGTGTCGGCTTAGTGGGCGAGGGCCGTCCCCGTCGGAAAGGGCTCATGTTATACTCAGATTGGATGGGGCTCTGTTTTCGCACTGTGGGGTTCCTGACAGTTCAGAGTTCACGGTTTAGGGGTTCGTGGGTGTAGAGTCCTGCTACGTCCCACTTTGGGCAATTTTATTGAGAGTGTCCTGCGCCAATCAAACAGCCAGTTCAATGAAGCAACCAAATAAAGGGCTGATTGAACGAGTGATTGATTACTTGACGAAGTATCTGACTAGCTAGTCAACTACTTCATGAGTTGTTCCATCAGTTAGAACTGACGGGTTGGTTGCTAAGCTAAGTTAGATAGTTGATGCAGGTGGAACGCTCCCGGCTCTTGCTCTTCCTGCCGGGAGCGCGAGAGCTTGCAGGGCAGGGGCGGCCATACTTTACCTCGCGGGTTTTGGAGATTGGGGGGTTAGAGTTTAGAGGCCTGATCATTTCGTCATCCCGTCCCTGGGTAGTTCTCTAAATGAGGGTCCCTTTTAGGGTCCTTTTTGTAATGTTGCCGTATTACTTTCCCTAGATATCCCTGATATAGTTATCTCTTGCATAAGCTCCCCTGAGGCCTTCAACGCCAGGCCCCCGGTTTCCCTAAAGGAGCCCGTTTTTCTTTCAGGCCTCTGCTCTACTAGCAATAGTGCGAAACCTGGGTAGTTTGATAATCTTATTTCCTTCGGGTTCCTCTTCAACTTTATATTGCAACATCCCCCGCAGCCATATTCCAATCAATGAGGCCGCTTTGTTGTCCTGACAGGAACCAGATTTATAGTCGTATGAGTTAGGCAGTGAGGCCAAAACTTAAGCTCAGATTACGTGAGAGAGTTGGCGCCAGACCTGTCCTGTTCCGTTGCAACCCCCCCTTGAGGCAGTCGAGATCCTAGCCCCTAAACCCCTAAACCCTCGCCAACTAGTAAAGACGACGAGAGCCACTTGCAAAAACCGAGAAAGCCATGATAAAATCCTGCTAAACGCTAGAACAAACTTACGAAGCCCCAGAAAAAAAAAAAGGCTTGAAAACCCGGACCTGCAGTACCAAGGATAGATAGAGGTCTTATTTGACCCCAGAAGCCCACATCCTCGGCACCCCAAGCCAGAAATGAAGCCTAAGCCCTGAACCCTAACACCTAATTTCTGAACTTCCCCTCACCCCCCAACCCTTAGGAGCCCAATAGGTAAACTTTAAACTTTTTTAGTAGATTCAACCCCTACTAAAAGAAAAGTTTAAACTTTTTTGGGCCAGGGTACTGGGCATCTAAGAACCTAACCCCCAACCCCTAAACCCTGTACCTTCTTGAAGAAGGAGTCTTGGCTCGAACCCTTCGACATCGAAGAGGCCGGCGCGGATTCGCTGTCAATCTGCGTTGTAGTTCCTTTCGGGTTAAATCTACGGCCAGAGGTATGCGCCCCTAATAATAAGGACCCTTAGGCCTTTCTAGGGTTTTCTTAGAGGTACATATAAGGGTTAAGGGCCCATACTAAGGACCCATGGTTTCAACCTTACATTAAATCAAGTTTCGACTTATATAGGATCTTAAGGGTTCTTGTCAAGAAAGCCCAGAAGTACTTCTTGTTGTGGTGGTTAACAATCAACTTTAGAAACTTAGGATCTTATCAGGTAACCAATGGGAGGAACTACCGTGGAGTTACGAAAACCCCTACACTCTAAACCCTAAGGCCTATTACACAAAACCCTAGACTCTAAACCCTAAACCCTAGGACTATTACAAAAAAAAACCCCTAGACTCTAACCCCTAAACCTTAGGGCCCATCACAAAAAAAACCCTAGACTCTAAAGTCTAAGCCCTAGGGCCTATGACCAAAAAGGAGGCCTTTTTGCATTGAAGGGAAGGAATCATAGGTTCCAGGCTCAGCGTTGAGGGTTTAGGGTTAAAGGTTTATGTTAAGCGTTTAGGGTGTTAGGTTCAGAAATCTTTTGTGTCCGGTCCACCTTCAGGAGTTGAGACAAAGGGGTTTAGGGTTCAGGGGTATATGCTTTCCTTGTTGTGGCAATTTCAACCAGGTTCCTGAACTCCTTGCACAAGCTTCAAAGGGTCGGTACCCAGAGACTCCACCCCTTAATCAAGGAATATGCGTTAAATCATTTTAGGGATCCCACCATAATTTCAGGCAAACTCCTTAATTAAGGGGTTTTGGAATCGATGAGTTTAGGGCTTGAATTGGCCCTAAGAAGGCCTCAAGCGACTGGTACAAAGCCCCTTCCCAAACCCCTTGAACTGTACTGGTAACTTGCAGGAACTTGCATGAAGCTCCTTGAAGGGAAGCACCCTCGTAAGATCTACACCCTGCGCCCTATAAACCCTTATGACTTATAAGATCTCCATAGGACTACAGAGCTTGTAGAGAAATCTCAGAGGCTTCATAGAAGCCTCTGTGAGCCCTCCGAAGGAGCCTTCCTACAGCCTCTATGACTCCTCTTACAGTAACCCGCTTAGAAGCTTCATGGAAGCTACAAAAG